TGTGTAAATGGCATCAACATTCGATCCACGAGAAAGAGCATCAGATACAAAATTTTGAAAGTTAAGTAAATTAGTAATCGTACTTTTATTTCGCCGAAAGCCATGTTGATCATCTATGATAACATGATTCAAAACAGATAATACCTTATTTGCAACTATTGATTCAAATATTTTAGGTATGAGAGAAAGCAACGAAATTGGACGGTAATTTTCAATGTTGGATAGATCAGATGAAGACTTAGGAATTGGTCGAATAAAACTAGTTTTCCACTTATCAGGGAAAAAGCCGCAGGAAATATCTACAATATAATTAATTTTTCCTTTTAGTTTTTTCAATCTTGTTAATCCTATCTGAAGTATTAGTTGGGTCATTAATGACATCTTTTAAATCTGTGACTGTAATGATTGGAATGTTGTCTAAAAAATATATCGTATATTATTGTAAGTATTTAAAATAATGTTAGATTATGAAAAAATATACCTTCAAAAATTGTACAGTTACCAGTTTTTGGTGGTTTAATAAGTGAATATACAGATAGCATCCTATAAAGCTGGAGAAATGTAGGTGTAGATGGATGGTCATTTGGTCCAGCAACCTGACGGTATAATACCAAAAAACTTCTGTCAAAATAAAGTCAATAAATATTAGAATACTTTTTCTTAAAATTTGGTAAGTATAATTAATTATTTTTAAGTTTACTTCCAAACAATCTTGGTTTAATTTGGCGGTCAAAACATACATAAAATTACATTTATTTAATAAATAATCCATAATATCTACAGTTGATTTAATAGTTATTTTGAGACCATCAGCTGTGGCTTGTGTCAAAAAATCATCTTTTTTTATGAAATTATTATTAAAATTTGATTCCCAAGTATTGATCCATGTCAAAGCTTCTTTTAATACCTATTTAACGTATAAATAATGAAATACCTAAGTTTTCTATAATTAATATAACATTTAAAACAAACAATCTAAAATCTAATATGGTGTAGTGTTTTTAATCATAAGCATAGCATATTATGCTGAAAAACCCTTCACTGTATGATTTTTTTAATTTTTTACGAAAAAAATTTATTATGTTTAATTTAAGTCATAGATAATGGGAAAAATAGTAAAAAAAATAAAAATACAATATTTACTAAGAAACTGCAAACTTAAGTTGGCAATTTATGCATTTCCATAAGGTTACGTCATATTTTTTTCAATATTTTAGAAATACAATTTATAGTAGTTATTTTTAAAATACTTTCATTTCAGTTTAATTCACCTTACATATTTATATTTATAATAAACCAATAAATATTATAATATTAGTTATATTAATTAATGAGTATAAAAATAATAAAAGTAAATAAAATATTAATATTTATTATTAATACATAATAGTAAATTCACTCTAACTTAATTAATAATATATTTTAAGTAAAAATTTAAAAACAATAAAAAATAATATCCTGTTATATATTATAAAGATATAATATATATTTTATAATAAAATTAGTTGTGAAATTTATAAAAACAGTTTCTATCGCTGTTGTAACATAAAAAAACAAGGCATCTAGAGCGTTAAATAAATGACTGATATTTGCAATTGGGCATTTTACAAACAATTCGTCTACTTGCTGTATAGACTTGCCAGTGATCCAAATGATCTTTTATAACATCCATGGGTGGAAGTGATGTACAAGGTGTTCTTTTTTGTCCTCTTAATTTTTCGAACTTCTTGTTGTTGCTCAATCGATTCATTCGATTTCCTTCCACGTCCTTCCCTAGTATTGATACCACCACGACAGAGTGATACCGCAAGTTCTTCGCGATAAGCGCCCAATGTACATTTTTTTCCCGTCACTTTTTTATATAATAACCATGAATTAACCACTGTCACGTCAAGTAAGTGGAAAAATATTTTAATATACCACTTCTTACTACGCATTATTATTCGATATCGAGCAATCATCGAATCAATTAAATCTACCCCACCCATATGAGAATTGTACACCTCAATAACAATTGGCCTGGAAATTTCAATTTTTTTTTCTTTTTTGTCGAAACGTTTTGTGGTACGTTTATCTAGTTCACCTACAAATGTCGAGGCCATAGTAACAACTTTATTATCCCTCCATTGAACTGCCGTAATAGGGATATCATCGACAACAGTGATACATTCTTCCGATGTTCCTCGTGGTTTTTTCATTATTTCTTTATCGGACATCCTTTCTAAATTCAGAAATCGATTTCTTCGAACTGTGCACATTGTATTTATACCTTTTTTTTGTAAATACACCATTACCGGTATCGATGTATAATAGTTATCGAAGTATAGTTTATGATTTTTATTTTCTGGAATGATTCTCGCAAGTCTTACTACAGTATTAGGTACTAGTAGCACTTAAATCTGGTTCACCATATAATAATCTTTCATCAGCATCATTTTCATTTCCGGTATGTAATGAATCAAAAATAAGCTTAGCCAGAGCTATTGATGAAACTTTACCTTATAATAATATATTAACTTTTTTAGATGTTATAGTTAGGCTTCTTTAAAACATAAACGATGGAGCCAAGAATGTGCCCGTTCTTTTGCTTCCTAGTTTATCATTTGTTAAAACCTATATATTATTACGATTTAATTCGGGATCGTGAATACAGATTCATAAATATAGATTATTTTTACTTTCCCTGCAACACCGGAGTCTACGTGTGTTATTTTTATTTGTAATGATAATATTCTTTCTGCCTTTAATGTATTTAACTCTTCAGCGCCGGAGTAAATTTTTTTTTTAAATTATTGTTTTTTGGCCTTAGTTAGTCTTATTAAACAATAGTATAACCAAAAAAAATAAGTTTTATATAATCAATCATACTTTTTAGAACAAAGCGTTACCATTTGTTACGCTAGGCGCTGTCATTGCATAAAAATATTAATAGTATTATATGGTACTATGATTACAAGTATAAGAATAAAATGTAGTAAAAATGTTTCTTTATTATTATTTATGAATTTAGAATTATAATGATAATACAAAGTAAATGTATAAGTTCTTATTTTCATGAAATTCTCGAAAACATAGAATACAAGTTCTAAATCACATTTCATACACATAGTTCGAACATGTGATTGTTACAGTTGTCTCCAGCACAACGACGTCTTTTCTGTTTGGTACTTCACTTACCCAATGATTCATTTGGTCATATCGTAATTCATCGAAATTCTAGCATTTGTAATGGATGTTTGATTTAGATGGACGTCCTCCCTGCTTTCCTGGCTGTCCATATTTAGTTAGATAAGTAGAGGCAATTCGCGTTTGAAACTCTAACTTGTATAAGTACTTCCACTTTTTTTTGACAAAACCATGCATTATTTATTGCCACGTCCGAGACCAGTAAAAATAGGCCACCACCATTTTTCCACGAATCCCTACTCGATATCTGGCTATGTCTTCATCCATTCGATCGACTCCACCCATGTGTTTATTATAGTTAGCAATTATTGCTGGCCGAGAACTGAATAAATTTTTGTTGTTGAAAAATCGTCTGACTGTTGACACGGGTTCAGTTCCATGAATAGAAGACATTGAAACAACTGAATTATCAACCTACAATACGTAACTGAACGAAGTACCAT